CCGCTGTAGGCGAGCGTGCGTACGTTGAACGTGCCGAACTATAGGTCGCCCTCTCATGCTTCTTCTTCCCAGCCGCCTGGACGGCCGCTGCGGTCTCNACGAATCTCTCTACTCCTCCAGCTTCGTGGGCCACGCTTTCCGCGACGGTGGTTGCCAGGTGCAGTTTGCCGCTTTGCATTACTGCCGCGGGAACAGTGTCCATACACACCTCTCGCCACTACCACCGTCTGTGCATCCTCACCGCCACGCTGAGCCAGCGCGGCGGTGAGTTGCACCTTGGGACACCACCCGCCTACTATCTGTTGTGTCCTGGTTTGCCCGCGAGGGACTCACCAGGTCGATTTCGGCCCCGGCCGGGGAGCAGGCCGAGGACGGGGAAAGTATGCGACCCCGGTTGGGTCGGTATGAAGGGGTAAATGAGCCGCGTGGTGCGACTCAATACCTTGTAGTATCTTTTCTGCGATGCTGATGGTGTACGAATCCCGACACTCATCAGCGCGAATCGTTGGTGGTGCAGCTACGCGTGCACCACAAAGGGACAGCAGGCGTGCGACGGGAGCGACGATGATTGTACGTTTGCACATTACATGCGGCTGTTTCTTTCCGTTTCAACGCACATGAACGAAGAAACCAAATGTGAGAAGTCTTCCCGCCCTGCGGACGCAGACAACTTCACACGTACGTACATGTGGGCATCGGGAAGAAGCATACATACCTCATACCTCGGGGCCATTTCATTTGAGTGTACCTTTTTAGGGTAAGTTAGCCTGCGACCACGGGAATCGACCGCGTCGAGTATTGGATCAGTACGGACATACGAAGGTACTGGGTAGAGAGAGGTCGGAACGGTTTTTAATGTGAAGAAAACAACAACAACAATACATGTGGCATCCCCCTGGCGGCGGCGAGCGTATCACACATGACATCACACCGTAGAGGAACACGACGAGCAGCGTAGACAAAGGATTGTGACACGGCAGATGGCAATTATTGCGTCAGGCTCACAACTTGCCCGCCACATTCGTCTCAAGTCTTCCGAGTTTCCCGCCCGAGTGAAAGCAAGCAGTCCAGCTGCCAAAAACAAGAAAAAACCGTTTGATGGTCATATGACGTCATGGCTTTGATGCGAGAGGCCGACAGGCCCTACAGGGCTGCGGCAGCAACAACAGCATGCAGGGCACGGCTTTCTTTGCGAAGACAGTCAGCAGCGCGGCGCTAGTCCGCAATCTGAGCCGATCCCGCGGGGAACCATCCTGACAAAACACACAGCATCAGCAGTAGTAGACCCTCACCCCCTCGACGGATTCACTCGATGATGGTAGGGTGTGATCTGGACTTGGGAAGGTGTGATATTTGTGTGATCATCGGTCTGATCTTTTGAAGCAGTTGGTTGTACCTACTGAACATCAATAAATACCCGCCAGGTTACACATGGCGCATGCCTACAGTATACCCACGGTGCACAGGTCGTAAAGACCCGGCCCCTCCTGCATTCTATAGCTGGTTTCAGGCCAGCGTCTCAGCGGCGATGCGTTCGTTGGTGGTGTTCTTGCTTCTCTGTCGGTGCTTCTTGTCCCGTCTGAAAAGCGCGCGCCTGCGATCTCCGCTTTTGCGCACGCCTTTTTGCGTACAACCCCGGGGTTGGGGAGCACAATCTTCTACGAATATGGGCTACATGTGTCGGTGAAGCACGGCCATCTGCTCATCTGCTCTCGGAGCACGACGAAACCGGTGTAGATAAGAGCGCGCTATTTTTATTCTTCCTCAGAAGCGAGCAGATTGTCAATCGGTGCCCTGTAGATCTCGTTCTGGTTCCATAAGTGTGCTAAATAGGCTTCCCGGAAACCAAGTTTTGGGGGCCCTGTATCGCGCGGCGCAACTTTGGCCGATATATAGAGCCTTTTTTTCCCTCCTGGGGACGAAGGGTAAAAATGTCGCTCGCTCCGCGGCTCCTGGAAACCATGTTTTTGGGGGCCCTGTATCGCGCGGCGCAACTTTGGCCGATATAAAGAGCCTTTTTTTTCCTCCTGGGGACGAAGGGAAAAAATGTCGCTCGCTTCGCTCGCTCCGCGGCTCATTATCAAACCAGTTTTCGGTCCCAATTTGGAAATGCACGTTTTGAACTTCATTTCCGAAAGTTACAAGAATAGGAGTGGCCAAAATCGGGCACACCCGGCCCCAATCCGGCCATTATCGGATACACTTGTTATTCACAGTCGGCAGCGCCCTCCTGGCGCCATCTGATTGGCCGACGCCCGCCCCTACCCGGCCCTGACCCTATTCCCACCGGGTGCACCCGATCTTGGCCACTCACCCCCTGGAGGGGTACCCGATCTTACTCTCGCCTACCCGAAAATGGCTGGGCTTTTCGACCAACAGACCACCAGCACAACGCGGCTAACGCGGCGGAACTCTCGTTTGAAGTAGATCTCGCTCCTGCAAGTAGATCTCGCTCCTCAACCCACCAAGTCTCTCGTGGTTAATCTCGGCGCTCATGCCTGAACGGTAGACTGGCATCGGCAGAATATGAGCGATGAAGTAGAGAACACCGCGGTCCTCGCGCAAGGCGCGTGCTACTTCACCACCAGCCATCTTAGGACGGCGCTCATGCTGCGTGTACCACCACTCTCTCTGTCGTTCCCCATCTCCTGTGGCAAGCCCGCAGTTCCTTGTCTCTCCGACGTACTCACGAGAGGTCGAAGTCAAGGAAGTATTATCGAGGTCCCACGGCATCCACTGCTTGCTGCTGCTGCATTACTGTACGAACTTCTTCCTACACAACAATGTGTCATATATCTCCGGCCTTGATCGAGACATAACCACGGCATCCACTGCTTGCTGCTGCTGCATTACTGTACGAACTTCTTCCTACACAACAATGTGTCATATATCTCCGGCCTTGATCGAGACATAACCACGGCATCCACTGCTTGCTGCTGCTGCATTACTGTACGAACTTCTTCCTACACAACAATGTGTCATATATCTCCGGCCTTGATCGAGACATAACCACGGCATCCACTGCTTGCTGCTGCTGCATTGCTGTGTACGAACGACCCTCTGCGTACACAACAACGTGCCATGCATCTCCGGTCTTGATGTGTCAATACATGTATTCCAGACGAAAGCGACGCCCTTATGCTTCTGTGCCTGATGCTTCCGTGAACATATCTGAGCTGCGTCATGTATTTGTGTGCATCTCAAGTGATCACGTGAGGTATTGAGAGGTATTCATCCACCGCCGCCCGCCTGGCCCTCTCTCTCCTCCCTCTCCGATACGAAACGAGAACCGAGAGAGTTCCGCCGTCGGCGGTGGGTTGCAGGAGGAGCCTTGCAGGAGAGAGATCCACTTCAAACGAGAGTTCCGCCGCGTTAGCCGTGTTAGGTCAGCCTCCGCCCACCGTCGGAAGCGTCGGAACTCGAGTGCGGGGTGTTGGTGACGTGTGTTCGTGAGCGTGGTCTGCTGGTGGTCTGTTGGTCGAATAGCCCATCCACTTTCGGGTAGGCGAGAGTATGATCGGGTGCACCCGGTGGGAATAGGGTCAGGGCCGGGTAGGGGCTGGCGTCGGCCAATCAGATGGCACCAGGAGGGCGCTGCCGACTGTGTAAAACAAGGTACCCGATAATAGCCGGATTGGGGCCGGGTGTACCCGATTTTGGCCACTCCTCTTTCTCATTGGTGACAAACGAGCGGTCAGGGGTGTGCGTCCTACCCGTGATTGTGTGCATGTGGGTTTTCGGCGAACAGCCCAGCCATTTTCGGGTAGGGGAAAGGATAACCAGGTACTCCTCCGGGGGGTGAGTAGCCAAGATCGCGAGCACCCGTTGGAAAGACGGTCAAGGTCGGATAGGGGCTGGCGTCGGCCAAACAGACGGTGCCATGCGACCCTTTCCAGCAGCACCTTGTAGGGGTACCCGATTATGGCCGTGTTGGACCGGGTGTACCCGATTTTGGCCACTACTTTTCCCACAATTCCCACAAGCACGCAAGCACACCAGCACATACCTACCTTTGCATCAGTGGCTCTCTAGGTTCGGGCGAGAGTATGTGTGGTATGATGGGAGTGTATGTGCTACTACAGCTGCCGTATGTTGGACTCGTCTATACTGCTGCTGCTGTGTAGTGTAACTGCTGACATGGCTGCTGGGTCTTGGGAGTGTATAATTTTTTTAATTTGAGAATATGCAGCATACCACAATATCCTGGCCTGGATGAGCTAGAAGTGCCCATTTCTCGCTGTCCTCCTGTCTTTGCGTTAGTGGCTTGCTAGATTCGGGCGAAGACATGTATGTGGAGCTTTTGATGTGTGTCTCCTTGAAAGGATATGGGGAGAGATTCGTGGTGGCATTCGCACTTATTTAGAGCAGTGTGCATGTTTCGAATTTTTGCCCTTCCAGGGACCTTGATATTTACCCGCTGGTACTGCTGTAACGTCTTTTCATTGGTCACCGGGTACGCGGTCGATGCGAAAAAAATAGACATACCTACCTATTGACTTGCTAACACCTGGAGTGGAGGGATACAGGGCGGCAACTCCATGGCATGCCACAACACCAGCATTTGCAAATGATCAATCAATGATTTGTCAGGACGCCTGTAGACCCTAAAGGGTCAAGTATATAGCTAGCTGTAAACAGGCACCACCCCAAAGGTACCCGTTCGAATGGGTAATACGTGATGAGCAATTTTTACAGCAGCATATCCATTGTTTACAGCATTTAGCGCCCGCGTTTAAGGATCGCCACTTTCTGGTCCAGCCTCAAATTCGTTTCATGGGCTGAAAACTCACATCATCAGGGTGCCTTGTCCAATGTCGAGCTTCTTATTTTTTCGTGCTGCAGAATCCTGCTGAATTCTTCAATAGTACAAATAACTTCAATAGCCCTCACAAGTGGCGGCGGAGAGCTTATCAAACCCATACATACAGAAGACAGCATATCGTGGTTCGCGACATACGTGCGAGGCAGCGCTGGAGCCGGCAGGCAGGGTGGTGGAGGGCGCGCCGAAAAAAAACAACCCCCTCTCCAAACTACTGCTGAAGTAATAATACTTCGTAGTGCGCTATGCGAGGGGGTGCGTACATGTAGTAGCACATGGCAGAGGGGGAAAGAGGGAGAGCTACATTATATAGGAGCAGTGTGGGGTGTTCCTTATTCGACACACTCACCTCTCCTTCCCCGTAAACCCTCGTTTCTTTCGAAGTAGGGTGGTAGCGGTCGCTCCTGTTTCTTACGGAGACGTTTCTTATATTGTGGCCTAGTTTGAGCTTGAGCTGTAATTCTTCACCCTATTTTCTTATTTTTCGTGGAGATTATGAGGCTTTGTTTCTTAACAAAATGTTTCTTTATCGCGGGCGGGCGCTAACTGTATCGGCGGCTGGGAAGATATGCACACGGTTCGTGCATACAGAAGTAATGAAAAAAGGTTCAAATGGTCACGAAAAATAAAAAAAAAATGTGGTAAGAGACACCGCTCAATCTCGGCCACACCATAAGAAGCTTCACAGTAAGAGACATGATCGTGCGATACCCCCAAGACATACTATAAGAAACAAGGGATAGTGGGGAGCGTGTCCAATAAGAAACGTCCCACTGTTGCTGCTGCCATGCTCCCACCCCATACTTTCTGCTGGTGTTGTTGGTTCATGTAAATGTTTGGTAGGGGGGAGAGCGTTTGCTTTCGCGGTGCCCTCCACGCCCCAGCTACCCACTGCTGCTGAGCTGCTGTACTGCTGTACTGCCAATCCCCCAATGTTCGCCACCGAGCTGTCGGTTTAATGCTTCGCATGAAGGCTTGGTGTGTTGTTTTCCTCGCCAGAAATAGGAAAGTACAAATAAGAGAATTAGCAGGATGCGACAGCCCATTGGAATACTGCTATATTGTAAGAAATCCGTTTTAAGAAATTGGCCGACTTCGGCCGGTCCTTCTGCCCAAAATATAGATCTTGAGGCTCGACCTGATTTTGACTCTTTTTATCTCTGGGCCCGCTCTGTACGTTTCTACGCCCCATTGGTGGGGTAGCACCTAAAGTAGGCCATTTCGATAGCCCGGCAACATACTTGTTAAGTACATATACACTCCGTCCGCCATGTCTTACAGCGAAGCGAGCCTTGTATTGTAGCGCGAGCTCCAGGTGTTAATTGTAAATATAAGCTAATGTATAGGACAGTTTTACCTACCGGTGTATGTATGTAGACACGGCATTACTCGGTGGATTAGTTTCTCCCTCAATTCTTTGGTGGATTTTTGCGAAGTCATGTCATAACCCTAGAATATCGCCCCAGCAACACAATCTGAGGGTGCCAGCTCGCCCCGTGCCTGCTACTTGACGCCCTCTGAGTACCGATTTGTAAAGAACCGCGGAGCTCGAAGCGCGACCGACCGGTATTTTGCCTCCGTCCAGGGGGGAAACACGAAAAAACAGACTCTACATAAACTATGTTGTATACAGTTGGCGCCCGACAGACCTTTACAGCTGGTGAAAAGAGGGAATCGTCCTCGACAGACAGAGGAAGATGGTATGTAGCCTAGGTGATCTCCACATTACCCCCCCCCTATTTGACGCTCCCCCGGTGTTTGCCATCGGGATTGGGTTTTCGTCGCTTGGCAACGACGTTGTAAAACAAGCCAACTCACTTCGTGAACTCGGCAACCAGGTTACCGGGTTTTTTTTTTTACCTCCGGTTTTTTTTTTTTGTCGGTAACCATAATGGTGGTCGAGTAGATCATGTTGTGCGGGGTGGAGAACCCTCACTCCGCGCAAGGGGGATGATCGCACCACGTTGTGTTAAAATGGTCAAGCACCCTCGAGGCAGTTACACAGTGCTTACAACTGTCTCTGGAAGTGAAAGCACCAGAAAATAAATTAAGTCATACGCAGCTGTCATCCGTACGCAAGGAAGTAAGCACAAGATGCCGAACACCCTTAGCAGGATGCAGCGCACCCTTCATGCGACTCGCCGAATATCTCACGGCGCTTCGCGCTTGGTGATGTGAGAGCCTGGTCCGGTGAGAACCCGGCGTGCTCCGTCCCGGCTTTGTAGGGATGCGAGGTCAATGGTCCAACGACTACGGCATGCACGACTATGAGTACCCCCCCCCCCCCTATTTGACGCTCCAGCTGGAGCGGATAAAGCACCAGTCTTGAAAATCCGCTCGAATTGCGGAAGTCTCCGCGCGAGTGTGGTTGCTGCCTGGAAGCAGCGTTTCTCACACAGCATCGCAGATAGAAGACTATCGCAAGGTATTGAGAATCGTATTCCGTGACTCATTACACTGCAACATTCAATTATTTCTCAAAGCTCGGGTCCGGGATTACACGGAGGAGTTCCTCAGCACGATGTATGCGATATTTATCAGGCGCGAGAAATGATCAGCTTTTATTCTCTCGAGTGTACTCACACGAACTACCGTACGTACCGATTTCCTCTGGCCAAACGACAGAGGACAGTACACCAGGGGGTCTGGGGATGACACGAAGCGTTACACAAGGAAGGAGTCCGGAATTGGCCCCCACGACCCACGCTACACCTTTGCTCGTCAGCTAGTGGCGATGAAACACGAGCCTTACCCTCGACCCGATATTCAAGTTTCTTATCTGCGGGCCCGTTCTGTATCACATTTTCTGTGAACCGTACGGTACCACATAATGGATGCCTGTGCTCGTTGATGTATGTGGTCTACGGTTGTGGTTGTGTTCTTCCTGCAAATCCCATGCTAAGCAGAGATACCTCTTAGCCCTGCCTTTTTTTGCGACAGTAACCAAAACCGGGGCGATCGGAAACGGTGAAGGCCGACTCGGGAAGAACGGCCACGGTAGGCACTCGCCGCTTGAGCGTGAGCCAGAAAATGGAAGTCAATGGTCTTGGCCAATCAGCGTGGGACCTCGGGGTCAAATCCCGAGTCTAGATCATCCTTGTGTGCCATTTTTGTGTCACCCAGACCACCTGGTATACCGTTTTCCGTCGTTTGCATTAGTGGGCCGGTGCAGTGGCATGTAGGGCCAAGAGGAGAATACGCCACTGATTCATGGCAGTGCCACTATTCCATGTACCGGGTTCATGTACATGTTGAGATTGTGACAAGAGATTCTGATGCCACTACATTGGCAGTTACACTATATCGGATCACCTACTGTACCAGGTATATCCTATGACTGGGCACGATTTGCGGAGTCTAGCCTCGCTGATAATCTATTTCACAGTCGTAGCCACTGCATGATTTTCGAAGCTAAAATAGTCGCTTAAGATAGACCTTTGCTCTTAGTTTAAACGAGATGTTGGATGTCCTGATGGGCGAATGAGTATGGAAGGACGTCAACCATGTGCCCGACATGGTTTGAACACACCAATTTTGTGCGACATCTGACATCTGCACGTGTTTGGGGTAGCCATTGTTCATGCCGGGCACGAACGCAAGCTGAATAATCTTGCTGGTAAAGTGTTTCCCGAGGTATCACTCCTCTGGTAGGCGCGCGTGTGTGTGAGAACGAACCTTCTTACAACAACACTTGCTTCGCCCGACTCGGTTTATGGCCCTTGTACGCGAAGGTACTGATGGGCGGGAACATGACGTTGGAGGATCTGGCCATCAACTGTGGTACGACCTCCACCAAGGTGTGTACACCTCTTCAGGCCCCCACAACTATTTTCGTTTCATTTGAACATGGCATCGGGTCATTCGCCATTTAGCAGCATAGTGTGCGGTATCATGAATCTGTTATGCTGCTGACAGGGTTGTGGCTCCCGCGGGGTATGGAGCCGGATTGTTTCCGTGTTGTACCCGAAATCTTGATGCATTTCGAGCTGTAATCCCTAGTTTTCTTGCCCTAAGACGACATATGTCACAGACCTTTGAAACATTTCGCATATCTCGGTACATGACAGTCTTTAATATTTTTTGTCGTCAACTGCGACCAGTCCTCTCGTCCAAATAGTTCAGTACGAACTAGGGCGGGCTGAAGTACGGTCACAACGGGGGTTCGGATTTGAAGACAGTCAACTCTCTGTAGTCGTGCTCTTGGCACGATGACGTCGATCTTTTTCTCCTTGCTCTCAAGTAACCGGATTCGTACGTCATACGGCTACGAGCCTTGGGTTCCGCGTCTGTGTGTTCCCGTCGCCACACCCACTTAACAAAAGACAGAGTCTTAGTTGCTTCGTGAGACCCACCCAAACACGAACCGCAAAGGAATTTTTCTTTGCAAGTCCGAGTTGTCTACTCTTGCTTTCCCCAGAGGGTATTTTCGAAAAAAACGTCATGTCCAAGAGCACAAGTAGGTGGTGCTGTGGGTATTTTCAAAGCTTGATATCCAATAGCAGTACAAGCAGGTGGAGCTTTGGTGGCGGTCGCTGCGTTGTTGACACCTGGCTAGGCCCTTCGCGTTCACATGTTGCACAGGGTGAGGCAAAAGCCGGAGAACACTTGGCGGCTCGCCAAAACCCTGCCAATGGTTGACACGGGTAAGATCACGTGTGAGCTTGGCGTTGGGCAGGGCAGCGCGAAGAGAACCACGAGTGTACTTCATCGTGTGGGAGGGCTGTTTGAAGTATCGTCCGTTTCGGTGCAGGACAGGAAAGCTCCCGGTGGCCGTGCGGCATCGATGTCCGTGCCCGGAGAAAATCCGCAAAGGACCCTCGAACTTAGGAAAGGAAGGAACACAAGCTATTAAGCAAGCGGGGACAAATATATGAAATGGGCAAGCCCCCCGTCCGTGGCTGCTATTGTCGTCGGCACGCACAGTTACTGCTGCCCCCCCCCTGTTTCGCGCTCAACCCCTCCGCTTGCATCTGGTCCGACCATTTGGTCCGTTCTGTTGTCACCATTGGCTCCAAATCATGATGCGACGACGGGATCTACAGGTCGGCACCGTGTTCGTTGCCAAGGGTGCGGGGACCGGCGTCGGGGCACTCATGTCGCCGAAGCTCTACCTGAGCGTTCGCGGGAACACGGTGCTGTCCGTTGGGCTGGTTCTCCTTTCGGCGATCCTCTCGTACTTCCCGTTCCTGTCCAGCGTTTTCACCCTTCACCTGGCGTTCTTCATCCAGGGGCTTGTCGTGAATATTCTCATGACTGGTTGTCAGATCATGACTCGCAAGGTTCACGGCGACAAGTGCAACCTATGGACTGGTGCCAATGTGGTGTCGCTGGGGCTTTCGAGTGCCTTATTTCCGGTAGTTGCCTACCTGGATGATTCGCTCTTCGACCTGTACGCCATCCTGTCCGGCATGAGCATTGCAGTTGCCGTCATCCTCGGCGTCGTCATTCCAGCTCCGGAGAGCTTCGAAGGACTAATCGAGGTGTGCGAGACGCGTGATACTTGGGGTTGGCTGCGGGGGGGCTTAGATCGCCCGGATGTGTGCAGTTGTTGCCACATACCACTCGCCTGTCTCGGTTGCCTGAACGTCGACAAGGGGAAAGGGCGAGCCCGCAGAGACCCTAGGTGCTTACAGAGGTCAACTACCCTGCTTTGGGTGCAGTGGGTAGGAACGCTGGGCATGCGTGATGTTCCCTTGGGCGAGAGCTCACACGGTGGTATGCAGGGGTGAGAGCACGCATGGGTCTTGGTTGAGGGATGGTACGATGAGGTGTTCGCTACATTTGGGTTCTAATTGCGTGACATATCCCCCCACGTGCGTTTCGCCCTTGAGAGCAGGAGACGCCCGAGTCGTTCGTGGTGGACCCAGCAGCAGGTGGCATGGAGCCGCCGGAAAAGAGCACGTGGACGAGGAAGTGCTCTCTGTTCTACAGCAAGTACAGGGTCGAGTTTAACATAGGCGCCATGGTGTTGTGGCTGATAGGTGGCACGGTGAGCGGAACGCAGAGCTACTGCGGTATTTTCAGATGCGCGCGTAGGGGATTTGCTGCCCATCTCGACCCTCAGGCAAAGGGTCAGTGCGCACTACTCGGTGTATTTCGGCCAACAAGCCGGGCGATGTCTTGGTTGTTGTGAAGCGTGCCGGGTACAAACAAGCGTGGCACGGTAACGTGGTTGGCACCGGTGCATCCTTGGGGTGGTGAACCACACTATCATGAAGCCAAGTGTCCTACTTATGGATAAACCACCATATGCATGTGTTCGGACAGAATGATGACAAAAGAGGATATCAGCCTTCACCTCCAAAGAAACATTTGGCCAAAGGACACCTCACGTGTTTTCTGTCAAGGCACTGTTGTCCCATACTATGTATGAGTAGTCTACGAGTCCTTCGCGTAAAACAACCTTCCCGCCCTCCCCGTCCCCCCTACCCTTCCGCCTGCTCCCGCGCTGGTTCCGCTACCAATCAATTTCAGTCCGCTACGAGCTCGTATCTAGGTACGTATGTAGAGTCTACCGGAGTAATTCCAACCTCTCAAGAATCCCTCCTCCAAGTCGACTTGTTTGCGGCTTCGGTGGTCGGTATTTTGTTGGGCCTGCTGGCCCAGCTGTATTGTACACTTTCGAGCCTATATCGCTGGTCGATGGCGGCGTTCCTGTTGGGAGGAGCAGGGGTGGCAGCGATACTACTGTTCCAAGACTCGCCGACGGTGTTTTGGGTCTGCATCGCCAGTTACGGTTTCGCATGGGGCCCGACGGTAAATTTTTGCTACGAGCTTAATAACCACATAAACCCGCCTTCGGAATCGGGCATGTCGGTAATCACGTTCGGGCTTACCTTCGGAATGGCCGCGTTCCCGTATGCCACCTCGTTGGTGTTGGACTATACCGGGGTGGCGCAGTGGTTGATGGTGATCGTATTGGCGTCAATGCTCGTGCCCGGCCTGCTGCTGCTGAACATCATGCGAATAGTAGAATCGAAAGGGGTACAGAAGAAGTGTTTCCTTGTGCAGGAGGATCTGTCGTCAGCCTCGCACCCTGACATTGGGGAAACAACCCGTCTGCTGCAGTGACGCATGAGTAGTTGAGAAAGAGAGGGAAAGAAACGAAGGGTTATTCGTAAACATTGTTCCTACAACAGACCTGGAAAAGGAAACGGCCGAGATTGTGGTAAACAGAACATGATCTGGGAGACAATATCGATGAGAATCTAGAAAAACTAGTAGAGCCTGGTGTGTCGTGTAGGAAGTTCCATTTTGTGCTACGTCCGATTGTACCCCCTGTTGGTGAGTGCACCATAGCTGGTTTCTGCTGGAGACGATGTCGGAAAGAACCGCCAAGTTTTTTTAAGCAGCTGCAACAGTAGCTGCGACGCTAGCCAAGAACAAATGAACGTGTTTCAAACGACCACAAAATAGGCAATGGGTGGTTGAGAACAATAGTACAAGTCGGTGGGTACACCCACCGGAATGTTGCACAAAAATTCTGGCACCCTGTAGAGGCCTCGTGTGCCGCGGTGACAATGTAACGTGCTCGAAAGTTCGTAATTCTTGGACGTTCGTGCTGAGCATGGGCGTGGCTATCTATGTTGTCCAGGCGCGGGAATGGGATTTAGAGTGGTTCGGCACTATCACGAATGGTCTGCGTGAAGCAATTTTTCCAGTGCCTTCACAGTTGTCCGAGAAAGGAGTGCCTTTTTCTGTTTCCCTTTCGTGTTCTAGGGCATTTGGTTGTTCTGGATGGGTTCGTGTCGTAGACAAATGCATGGTTGTGATCCCTGCTATTTTACGCTCGTGAAGCATGGCCTTAGCCCACCGCTGTACGTATGCTCCAGTTCCAGGTGGGGATGGGGCTCATTTCTCCGGTGTCGTTTGTGGTAATAGTGCTGGTCCCGTCAGGAGCGGAGGATTCTTCTTGAATATTACATCGTTTCGTCCTGGTCTTGGTTTTCGTGGCCGGGTTGTTATTCGCCATGTCATGGCGAGAGGTCTTGATCGTAGTAGAAGTCAAAGTGGATCCCTTGTATTCTACGGAGTTGGACGGCTCGTTAAGCTTGGCTGTATCCCGCGCGTAGTTGTGAATAGGTGTCGGTTAGGTATAGGTATTGTAGGTTTTCCTCGTATGTTATGTAGGTGGGTGCCAGTTCCTTGCGTGTTGTGTAGGCGGGGATTGCCGAGCTGGTCAAGCGTGGCTTGACTGACGAGAATAAGGGGAGAGTGAGCTTGAGGGGGAGCCACCGTGGACCCCGTCTCAAACTCAGGGCGCTGACCGTCTTTCTCAGAGATTGGAACCCACCTGGTCAAGGTATAGAGGACGTATAATAGTATGTGTTTTGCCGAGGATCCCGTGCGGCCTTGCTCGTTTGATGTCCGTTCGGAAAGTGTGTAAGAAACATGTTATTTGTTCATCATCCACAGGGTGCGTTATTCTTCTTGGTCATTCTTGTACGTACGCGCTATTCCTGCGTGTAATAACACACACATCCCCCTCGCAGTGCCCCCGAAGTGATGTTGTGTCGCAAGAAGTGTTTGGTGTCACGTTAGTGGTTGCCAGTTTCGTTGTTGCTCCGGTAGACTGGAGCATTGGGGGATCTGTCTATCTTCCCTTTTGTTTCCGGTCGTTGTCTCCCCCTCTCTTCCTCTCGTTCTTGTTGTCTTGTCTTTCGTTCTTTCATCTCTTTTTTGACCGGGGTCGATCGCCTGTATCCCCCCGCTTATTATTTCTTCTTTTTCTTCGGGTAGAAAAACCAATCGCGTCTTGCGCTGGAGGTTATCCGTTAATCCACCTTCTTGCAATTCACACCCGGTGTTGATTATTGCTGATTCGGGATCATACCCACGTCACTGCATCCGTATCAATCACGTTTTCTTGGTGTGTAGTGAGGCGACTTCTGAACTTCGTCCCCACGCCTCTAACTAAAGAATTAAGTTTTCGTCTCGCACCCACTTGACGCGGTGAGATAGATCCCTGTTGGGGCGTTCGATGTTCGATGCGATGCACACAGCAGGTTGCGCCCAATATTCGACGATGACAACGGCACTGGCTCAACACGTTGATTCGCGGTGGGGATCAATCTCCGAACGCGAACGCCGCGTAATAATACTGTACTGTGGTCAAAGAGCAAACCATCGTCCAGATTTTCGCTGTACACTGTGGATTACACACCACGTAGCAGGGCGTCCGCCAGGCTGCCCGAAGTCTTTTTTTCCTGGCACTACTGTGCCACAGACGAAACCGGTGGTTACACAGGTCTCAGCTATCACGCAAGCAAGCCGTCGATCGTTGAGCCCAAAGCGACCAGTGGTTGCCGAGGAAAGCCCCCAAAGAGGTCAGCTCGGTGTCGTTGACAAGCTTAATTAACAACGAACGATACCGCTTGAAAATCAGCTCAGGCACTTCCTCCAATGAGCACGAAACCACCACCTGCCACACAAGCCACCATGAGGCCCAAACCGACATGCGGTTGCCGAGAAAACGCCGAAGCAAGCGGCCACCACGCCACGATACGGCTGTCGCCGACGCCGACCGATCGAAACTGCATCTACTGCTGTGTTCCCACGGGCTCCACCAGGTGTCCCACAGGGCATCGTGAGGTGCAAACCAACTCGCAGATGGATGCTGAGATATGAAAGAAGCGTATACTGGCTTCACTGAGACATGTGTTGACAACCCTCGGGGACGGCAAGGACAAATAGAGAAAGAAGTACATCCAAGAGGAGGAAGGACCAGACTACTACTGTACAAGGAGGATGAAGGACTCGACCGAAGCCGGGACTGCGGAGCGGAGAACAAGAAAAAGTCACATGTAAACGACCTGACGTTTTTACGTGTGTTGTTGTTGTTGTTGTTGTTGTTGTTGTTGTTTCTCACATTAGCTCTAGTCTCTGAAAAAATGGGGAGCCCGTGGTCTATAGAGCCCTCGGAAACCGATCAAAAATAAAACAAAACAAAAAGGAGGACGCTTCCCACACCCGCCGAAAGAAAAAATCAAAGGGTAACGTACCAGCACCAGGCACTACGCACCAGGGCATGGGAGTGACGGAGCAAACAGTATAAAGAGGTGGCAGATGGGCAGACAGCCAGATGTACAAAAACAAAAGCAACAGCAAAAGCGAGATCAAGGTACCAACACAGCAGAGTAGCANGGGCGCAACAAGTTCAGCCGGGTACACATTTCGCTATAAGTGCTGCCTCGGCCGCCCCACTCGCTTCTACAGCAGTGCCCGGTCGCCGTTTCTTCCCCTCCCACCGCCGCTTCCCCGACTCTCTTTCTCTTCGGTCCTGAGATGGCCGTACTCTCTGCTTCTGCTTCCCTCGCGCGCTGGCGCTTCGCGGACGCTTCCGCCTCCTGCCTGTGCCATTTCCTCATGAGTCATGCCGCCCCGTCCTCGACCTTGTTGTTCCACACCTCCGAGTCCTTGGCGCTCTCTTTCCATTCCCCCCCTTCCTTTTCGTCTCCCATGTTGAAGGCCACGAGGTCCTCTCCTACACGAGACACCCAGTGGCTCTCCTGCCCGCCCCGGTATTCCCCGCCCCCCGCCATCTCTCCTAACAGCATACGCTTGGGGAGGCGGTTGTCCTCCATGCGCATAACAAAGCCCGCGAAACACAGTCTCCGTTTGCGCACGGTGGCCTCGATGGTTTCCTCGCAGCCTGCCTGGATGAGGGCCTGGGCATAGGACAGGGGGCGGTCTGAGCGTTTCCGCTTGCTCCAGCCGATGCACCGTGTGAGGAACTGGCGGTGGGTCCCATTGAGCTTCGTGTAGTGCTCCGCTGTTAGGCTCCACGAGGCGCACCCATACAGGAGAGTCTCCACCACTTCAGCCTGGAGAAGCCGGATCTTGAGCTGGCGGTCGGCCCGTCGCCTGTCGTACATCGAAGCACTCTTCCGGCGGTAGCACTTCCACGCTCGGCAGCTGCGGCTCGTGATCTCCCGGTCGGCCTTTCCGTCCGCGGACATGGTACGCCCGAGGTACACAAACC